ATGTGCGTCGGCGTTGGTCTGTCTTGCATAGTGTTGGTGGTTGCGTTGTGTTGCATGGTCGTGTGGTGTGGCGTCTGTGTTTGTCTGTGTTGCGTGTGCTGCGTCTGTGTTTGTATGTTGGTGCTGGTGTGGCGGTCTCGTGTTTGATGTGGTGTTGTCGTTGCGTGCGTCTGTGTTTGATCGTGGTGCGTGTGTGCGTCTGTGTTTGCATGTGTGTGCGTGTGTGCCGTCTGTGTTTGCATGTTTGTGGTGTGTGCGTGCAGTGTTGTAGCCGTCTGTTTTGCAGGTGGGTTGGTGGGCGTCTGTGTTTGTATGTGTGTGGCGTGTGTGCGTCTGCTGTTTGCTGTGTGTGTGCGTGCGTGTGTGCGTCTGTGTTTGCATGTGTGTGCGTGTGTGCGTCTGTGTTTGCATGTGTGTGCGTGTGTGCGTCTGTGTTTGCATGTGTGTGCGTGTGTGCGGTACTTGTGCTTGTATGTGTGTGGTTGGCGTCTGTGTTTTGTATGTGCGTGCGTCGTGTGAGTCTTGTTTGTATGTGGTGTGCGTGCGTGCGTCTTGTTTGTATGTGTGTGCGTGCGTTGCCTCTGTGTTTGCAATGTGTGTGCGTGTGTGCGTCTGTAGTTATGCATGTGTGTGGCGTGTGTGCGTCTGTGTTTGCATGGTGTGCGTGGTGGGTCTGTGTGTGCATGGTGTGTGGTGTGTGCGTCCTGTGTTTTGCATGTGTGTGCGTGTGTGGCGTCTGTGTTTGCATGTGTGTGCGTGTGTGCGTCTGTGTTTGCATGTGTGTGCGTGTGTGCGTCTGATGTTCTGTATGTGGGTGCAGTGCGTGCGTCTGTGTTTGTATGTTGTGCGTGCGTTGCGTCTGTGTTTGTATGGTGTCGTGCGTGCGTGCGTCTGTGTTTGCATGTGTGTGCGTGTGTGCGTCTGTGTTTGCATGTGTGTGCGTGTGTGCGTCTGTGTTTGCATGTGTGTGCGTGTGTGCGTCTGTGTTTGTATGTGTGTGCGTGTGGTGCGTCTGTGTTGTATGTGTGCTGGTCTGTGTTGGATGTGTGTGCGTGTGTTGCGTCTGTGCTTGTTGTGTTGTGTGTTGTTGTAGTTGCGTGTGTGTGTGTGTGCTGCTGCGTGGGTTGTGGCGTGTGTGCGTTGTGTTTGTAGGTGTGTGCGTGCGTGCCTCTGTGTTTGCCATGTGTGTGCGTCTGTGCGCTCTGTGTTTTGCCATGTTGTGTGCGTGTGTGCGTCTGGTGTTTGCATGTGTGGTGCGTGTGTGGTCTGTGTTTGCATGTGTGTGCGTGTGGTGCGTCTGTGTTTGCATGTGTGTGCGTGTGTGCGTCTGTGTTTGCATGTGTGTGCGTGTGTGCGTCTGTGTTTGTATGTGTGTGCGTGTGTGCGTCTGTGCTTGTATGTGTGTGCGTGCGTGCGTCTGTGTTTGTATGTGTGTGCGTGCGTTCGTGTATGTATCCTGCGTCTTCCATGTTTTCAGATTGACGATACGAGCAAAATGTCCGATGAAGTTGAGAAAATTTCCGATGGACCAGCAGAACTGCCCTCTGGAGTTCGGCAGCTGTGAGTCTATCTACCTACCTGTAGCTCTCTCTGTCTCTAAACAAACCACTGACCTCCCTCCTACACATATATAGTCATACATCACAGCGCACCGGTTACCATTGTACGAATCTCCAAATAGGTTTATTAAAACAGTAACTTAAACTGAAAGGCACATTTAAAAGCATGTTCATTAGCTAGTTAGATAATTGGTAAAAACAGGCCAGTTAATGTACCTCGAATTGTTGGCCATCTGCAATAATTGAAGCCACCGTTGATCGCTATCGTAGCATGTTTCAGTCCATGCATTACCACCTGTGTTCAGACAGCTACAACCATAAAGAGGTTCTCTACGTATGGGATCCTGTTAAAGAGGACCACCCAGTTTACCAGTCACGGGACCTGTCGCTGTCGCAGTTCAACCTTACGGCAATACCCGTGCGTAATGCTACGAAACCAATCGGCAAAGGTAACAAACTAACATTATATACAGCGTATATGGACATATCTAAACCTTATGTAGGGGGCAGGAGATTAATCACTATATATATATAGACAGATAGTATATATAGTATTATATATATATATATATATATATAATAACTACTCCGTAGAGAGAGAGAGAGAGAGAAGAAGAGAGAGAGAGAGAGAGAGAGAGAGAGAGAGAGAGAAGAGAGAGGAGAGAGAGAGAAGAAAGAGGAGATAAAGATTGATGGATATATGACTATATATTATAGATAGAATAGATAGATAGGATAGATAAGATAGATAGATAGATTAGAATAGATATGATAAATATGATTAAGAGTAGATAGATAAATAGATAGATATGATGATGGATTGGATAAGTAGAAGATCGTCCCATATAGTAAAGTTATTGAACATGTTAAGAATCGAAAAGTAATAAAATGGCTGCAATAAAAAATTACGTTATACAAGTTTGAAAGATGTATAGATCCTGTGTGCTCTTATTTCTCTATGAAGTCATAAACCTAGCGTGCAATTATTCCTAAGCACAGTAGCGTAAACTACCAATTTCTCGTTACAATAGAACCGTATAATATGGTTCCCCATCGAAGTTCTTATGGCGACACGAAAAGTAACAAGTGTACGATTTTAGAACAATTGGTTACCAAAGTTTAAGTTAACACGACGAGGCCGACTCAACTCTCCCCTGTTTTCGTCTACGTTCACTGCTTGTTTCAACACGTGATTACTCCGCTGCTGAAGGAACAGAGTGGTTCACCGTACGGCGCACACAGCCGGCTACTTCCTCATACAGGTCTACCTGCCATTGCATCCCTACTCGTGCGGCCTGTTCCTGGAGTTTCCTCTGGAATCAACAGGGAAGCAACGGCATGATCGCGAATCGGCTAGGGATTGCTGAGTCATGCGACACTTCGCATAGCATACAAATTATGAGTTGCCTAACCGACCAATGATTCATATATTATTGAGGGAATAGTCATAAACACTCGACCAGACTAACACACGCGCGCGCGCAACGACATCTCATCATGCACAACACGCACGCACGCGAACGCACGCACGCACACACACCACAGCACTCACCACGCAACGCACGCACGCAGCGCACACAACACACACAGAATGGTAATTATAAATATGAGAATTATAGTATGAAGCGAGACAGTAGACACACACACGCGCGCGCGCACAACGCACGACACATCACACACCACACACACACACAGCACACACACACACACACACACACAGAGAGCAAATAGAGCGATAGGAAAAAAAGTGGCGAGTAAGAGAAGAGAAATATATATATATATAAGATATAATTAGGAGAGAAGAGAGAGAGAGAGAGAGAGAGAGAGAGGGGGGGGGGATGATTATAAATGGAGAATTATATATGAGTACGATGTATTCATCTGTCTTTGTATCTGTTGGCAGGAATCACAACAGTGCTGACGTTATCCCAGTTCAGCCTGGACAGTCGCACCGACCTACCCAAGGTTTCCTACCCTACGGCTTTAGACTGGTTCCTCGTAATCTTGCTATATATTCGTCAATAGGTGAGCACTTCTCATGTGCTGTCGGTTATCCAAACATAAAATGTCATAAACACAAAATGAGTAATCGAGCATTTTGTTGTTTTTTTTTTGTTTTTTTTTTTTTTTTATTTTTTTTTTTTTTTTTTGTTTTTTTTTCTTTGTTTATTTTTTTGTTTTTTTTTTGTTTGTTTTTTTTTTTTTTTTTTTTTTTTTTTTGTTTTTATTTTTTCTTTTTTTTTTGCTTGTCCGTTACGCTTCTCTTCAAGGAGTAAGCAACTCTCTGATATAAAGAGTTGTAGAAATTATGAGGTAAGAACACCGTGCGCGACGCGGTGTGTGTGTGTGTGTGTTGTGTGTTGTGTGTGTGTGCGTGTGCGTGTGCGTGTCGTGTGCGTGTGCGTGTGTGTGTGCGGGCCGTGCGTGCGTGCGTGCGTGCGTGCGTGTGTGTGTGTGTTTGTGAGTGTGAGGTGTGTGTGTCCCGTGTGCTGGTGCGTGTGCGTGTGCAGTGTCGCGTGTGTCTGCGGCGTGCGTGCGTGCGTGCGTGCGATGCGTGTGTTTGTGTGTGTGTGTGTGTGTGAGTCTGTGTGTGTGTGTGTGTGTGGTGTGCCGCGCGTGTGCGTGTGTGCGTGGTGCGTGTGCGTGCGTGCGTGCGTGCGTGCGTGCGTGTGGTGGTGTGCGTGCGTTGCGTGTGTGTGTGGTTGCGTGCGTGCTGTGTGTGCGTAGCGTGTGTTTGCGTGCGTGTGCAGCTCTCCCCTAAAAGCATTTTGGGTACCAATGCTATAATTTAGTTCGCGACGTAGAACAGTGCTGGCCCTCTGGTTCTTCGACAACATCCTATTATTAATTTTTTTTATTATCCTATGCCATTTCCCACCAACGGACTCCAATCGCACAGGTGTAATCGCCGCGGACTTATCACTGCCTGGATCAAAGATTACATGCCATTTGCGCTCCTGAACACTGACTCATACGATTGATTCGGATAATTGAATTTAGGGCAATTAAGGTTATTGGTAAGAAATTTGCCCAAGGGTTTTGGGGCAGTGTGTGTATGTGTATGCGAAACACAGAATACACTAGCGTGGGGCGCAGTCCTGCGGTCGTAGGCGAATTTTCAGTGCTACCCCCCTATCGAATAAGTTCCGCATCAAGAGGCAGAAAAGAGAATACCCTACGAAATCGGCAGAAGCTCATAATATTTAAAAGGGTAAGCCAGAAAAGGAGGCTGCGCAATTCCGAAAAACTGCCTAAAAAAAAAGAACCCGATCTTAGAAAAATACTGTAAGTGTCAACACTGGCAAGCATACAGAGAACTGAGGACC